ACAAAGCAGGGACGGAGCACGCCGGGTTCTCACCGGACCAGGCCTTAAGAGGGGGGGGGGGGGCTGTTTCATGCGATGCGCGTCCTATGGTCCTACCTCGCGTTACTTCGGTTGCTCTTCTAACGTTCTTTTCGCGTTTGCGTGTCCTGCTGAGGTGTTTTTCGTATTTGCGAGAGATTTTGTACAGAGATGACGACGCGAGCGACATGGTAAATCCTATCCTTCGGGAAAACGGAACGTTGTCGTACGACGGAATAGATGGTCGTCCTTCGCTGGAGAGAACAGGGTGGTGTTCTAGAATCGACGTGATGTTTTTGTGTGTGTAAGTCCGTGGTACATTTCCAGGGCTTTCAGCAAGCTCCAGGGCCGTGTGCAATATGTCGTGACACCACTGGGACGTCCGCGGTCCTTCCTTGATGCCGTGTTTTTTCGCTGTTATTCTCTGGAAGAACAGACATGTAGCAGCAGCGTTTGTTGCAGCTGCCGCGGCGCGACAGTGGATGGATTCGTTGCCGTGATGGATGCGAAACGGCCTCCCGAGAGAGAAGAATGTGGCATTCCCACCGCAAGCAGAGGGTATTATCCCCGCAGCAGGTGGTGCCTTCTTTCTCGTCCGGCAAATAGATAGAACGAGCCATGAATTTGGTCCCTGATCGTCGTTCAGATAGGACTAGGTTTCAACGCGCATAGTGTTCGGCTGAAGGATGCTTTGTGATGGTTTAGCCCTGGGAATCGCATCTTCTACATGTGGCCCGGAGCATGCACTGCTGCTGCTGCTTGTGAGACCCAGTGCGCCGGGCTTGGGCGCCATCTCGGCATGCCTCCGTATGTTGCAACAGCCTTGAAAGGACCTGGACCTTGTTGTTGTTTGGCGTGGTTTCAGTAGTGAGGGTCTTAGAGAATGGCCGTGGCGGGCGTCTTGTGGTGGTCATCGATTGCTTGCGGCGTGGTCGGTGTGTGTGTGTTGTGTGTGTTTTTATTATTAGCATCGACCACGCTAACCGGCTGACCAATGAAATGACGTCAGTCTGTGTGTGTGTGTTTTGACGTGTTGACCGGGGGAGGTTTGCGACCCTCTACTGGGGGTGGGTGTCTCCTGGACTGGATCTGATTGGTGCACGTATCGTGGGCCGCTCCTACCGCTGCTGCTGCTGCTGTACTGCATGTCTCGGGGGATTGTTAGTGTTTTTTTTATCTAGAGCCGAGCTCGCGGCGACCTTGCTGCCCGAGCTCATGTTCGCGACAGAAAAGAGTGTGGGCAAGTCGGCGGTATTGACCCCCCCCGCCGGTCACGTCTTCGTTCTACGTGGAGGCTGCGTTTGTTTGGTTGGACATGCATTGGGCCTTGCATTCATATCGAATGGCGAGGAGAGTTGGCTGTGCTATTCATAGCTGTACCACTTCATTGATTGCCGTTTTTCTCAAAACTGTTTCTAGATGTTCGACGGCAATGAGGGGGAGGACGAAGGCTTGGCCGCCGCTGCAGCGCTTCCCTCTTCCGAAACGCCTGCTTGGGCGGGAAGTCGGGGTGGGAGGGGCCTTGTGATGATGCGGCACCCCTTTTTTTTTTGGTGACGAGAAAAACTTTGAGTTTTTTCTTTTTTGGTTGTCTGCCGATGAACTGGCACAATATTACTATGTGGACTCCTTGTGTGTTGTTTTGGTGTGGTCGGGTGACTGTTCTTTCCTTCTGTGTTTGGCATTGTTATCATCAAACCCTGTCTGCCTGCCGACCAATGCAGTGACGTCAGTCCAACTGAGCCTGGTGAAAAGCGTTGCAGACCACTTCCTTCTCCAAGGGCAACGTGTGGGTTGTGGCAAATGTGTGTTCAGAATATTCTTAGTCGTCCCTCAAATTGCGTGCCGACATACTAGGTCATGATGCCCCGGCACTGCTGTTTGTACTTGGAATATTTTTGTTTTGAAATCATTTCAAAAACAGTTTTTGTGGAAAATAAGAAGAGCGCACGATGGTGAGGGGGGGGCGTCAGCTGCGACGGCGACTATCGAATCACCCTTGTTGCAGAGGGCGATCTAGGTTCGTTACTGTAGCTTAGGACAACCGACCGTAGATAGAGCAGATAGGTGTGTGTGCCACTCTCTCTCTCTCAGGGGGCATCCGCTGTCGCCGCCGTTTGGTTCCGTTCTGGAGGCGTTGTTCTTGGCGGGGGGAGAGAGGAGAGAGACGCGATATTTTCTCGGTGATCCGACTGATTGCCGTTTATTTGTCCTCTGCTTCTTGCTGGTTTCCACAGCAAGCAGCTGCTGCTGAAAGCAGCTACTACATAGCAGCAAGAAGAGCGCAAATGACCCTTTTCAGCACCTGCCTACTGCTTGTTATCTTCGTTTCAGTTTTTTTCCCGTCACACACCCCCCATGCTGTATGAAAACAACCATATCGAGATGCTCCAAGCAACTTGTTAGGGAAAGGGTCCCTTTTTCCCTCGCCTCTGCGTGCCCCCTGCGTCGATGCCTATCTTTCAGATCATGCCGCGCATAATCGACTACCTCCAATGAAACCCTCCGAAAGTAACTGGCCTGTGACCACGGAAGGCGTTTACGTCAGTTGGACCGGTACGGGTTTTCGAACACGCACCGCGCAGAGACCGGATTGTTGATGATGTGACACACAATCATCAATTTGTGAAGTGTTTTTAGGTGGTCTTCGTCCACAGCCGTGTTACCCCGGCAGATAGATGCCATCTACCACTGTAGGAATTAGCATCCAGGAACAAATATACCGAAAGAAATTGGCATGCGGGTGAGTATGCGTAAAACCTGACGGCGTGCAAAATAATTTGCACGACGGACGATCACGCCGTCACCACCAATAGTTGGAAAAAAATGGCAAAAAAAAAAAAATAGACACAAGCCTGGTAGGTACCGTTGTTGTTGTTGTTGTTGTTGTTGTTGTCTTCACATTAAAAACCGTTCCGTTCTCCTCGTGGAGTGATTAAAATAACGCGGAGACGAAGATGCAAAAACAAAAAAAACGCCGCAAAACTTTTCACTATCATCATCATCATCATCGTTATTATTATCGTCATCAGATTCCGCTTGGATATCGCGGTGGCACGCCGAGAGTAAGGAGGAGTAGCCAAGAACAAAAACACGCTACAAGGTTTCCCGGCCCACCCGGCGAAACTCCAATATAATTCCGCCGGACAATACAAAACTCGCTGCTGCTGCTGCTGCTGCTGCTGCTGCCTCTCAATCTTTCAACTTCGCCCGCGCACGGGCAAAAACACACGCCCGCGGGTCGCCTGCAGCCGTCTACTACGACTGACGAATTTTGACTGGCAGCAGCCGTCACCTCGGTCGATGCTAGTAACAATAAAAAGACACCCAGACGCCGCCCTGGACGGTACCGTCCACCCCTTCCCACCCGCCGGCCGCAGGCGGGGGGGGGGGGGTTGGGAGGGGGGGGGCGATGGCTAGGAAAATGTTGTTCGCGTACGTCTCTCCCGGTACGAGACTGGCGTATTTTCGTTGGCCACGCGTCGGTTACAGCCCCGAGGGGCGGGCGGTGGAAGGCAATCAAAAAACAAACAACTTTTACCCCCTTTATTACACGCGGGCACACCTGCTGCGCTTCCCGCGTGGGCTTTGGGGTTTGACGTCCCTTCCGTTTCCATCGAAAAAAGCGCATGTTGTTTTGTTGTGTCCTGCCAACGTAAGCCCAAACGAGTATGCCACACGTAGCCACGTGGTACAGAACCGAATCAGCAGGATCGCACTGCGGGGTTGACACCGGCCCCGCCGAATCACCATACACTCCCGCACCGTCCCCGTCCCCGCCGAATCAGTAGGATAGCACGTCCGGGTTGACGCAGTTCCAGCCCTCGAAGCCGCTACGGCCTGGTCGCGACGGCCGGTGTCAACCCCGCAGTGCGATCCTGCTGATTCGGTTCTGTACCACGTTGCCACGTGTGGAAAACTCTTCAGAGCCCCCCTACACAGCCCTGCTATTCTCAAAAGAGAGAAAACGACGACAAAGACCCCGAAAAACTCGTGCGGCCTACATATTGTGCGAAGGTTTACATGATACCAGGACTATAATCCCCACCCCACCACTGCTAGCTAAAAAAAAAACACTCCAAACTCATGCCCCCCCCCCCCCCC